TCCCCTCAGTACTCAGCCCCCCAGGACCCGTCCCCTCATTACCTGTCCCCTCAGTACTCAGCCCCCCAGGACCCGTCCCCTCATTACCTGTCCCCTCAGTACTCAGCCCCCCAGGACCTGTCTCCCCAGTACCCATCCCCTCAGTACTCAGCCCCCCAGGACCTGTCTCCTCAGTATCTGTCCCCTCAGTACTCAGTCCCCCGGGACCTATCCCCTCAGTGCCTGTCTCCTCAGTACTTAGCCCCCCAGGACCTGTCCCCTCAGTACCTGTCCCCTCAGTACTCACCCCCCCCGGACCCGTCCCCTCATTACCTGTCCCCTCAGTACTCAGCCCCCCAGGACCCGTCCCCTCAGTACCCATCCCCTCAGTACTCAGCCCCCCAGGACCCGTCCCCTCATTACCTGTCCCCTCAGTACTCAGCCCCCCAGGACCCGTCCCCTCAGGACCTGTCCCCTCAGTACTTAGCCCCCCAGGACCTGTCTCCTCAGTACCCATCCCCTCAGTACTCAGCCCCCCAGGACCCGTCCCCTCATTACCTCACCCCTCAGTACTCAGTCCCCCAGGACCTGTCTCCTCAGTATCTGTCCCCTCAGTACTCAGTCCCCCAGGACCTGTCCCCTCATAATCTTGTCCCTCGGTACCTGTCCCCTCAGCACTCAGCCCTCCAGGACCTGTCCCCCCAGTCCCCATCCCCTCATTTCCTGTCCCCTCGGTACTCAGCCCCTCGTTACCTGGCCCCTCAGTACTCAGCCCCTCATTACCTGTCCCCTCAGTACTCGGCCCCCCAGGACCCGTCCCTTCATTACCTGTCCCCTCAGTACTCAGCCCCCCAGGGCCTGTCCCCTCATTACCTGTCCCCTCAGTACTCAGCCCCCCAGGACCTGTCCCCCCATTACTCAGCCCCCCAGGACCTGTCCCCTCAGTACTCAGCCCCCCAGGACCTGTCCCGTCAGTACTCAGCCCCCCAGGACCCGTCCCCTCATTACCTGTCCCGTCAGTACTCGGCCCCCCTTATGCCACCTGCAGCCTTACGGACAGTTGAGATATTTCTGCGGTGATCTCCGGGGGCCGCGTTGTGCCCAGTGATGGGGATTTGTTTTATTTCAGATTGTGAGAATTCTGGATGAGAACGAGGAGGCGTTTCTATCCTCCCTCCAGCGGGGGCGCCGCATCGTAGATCGGACTCTGCAGCAAGAGGGCGCCGCCAAAATATTCCCTGGTGAGTGCCAGCGGCCGTCCAGTGATGTCACCATATGGAGCCAGGAATCGTTCCGTGGTTATTATATGTAACCATGTCTATGGAAGTGTGCCGTCACATACCTACACCCAGCAAATTCTGCCCCC